CAGCCCAGGCGGACGGTGCCCCGGATGTTGAAGCTGATCCTGGGCCGAATACGCCGGATCCTGCTCAGGAAGCGCCCGAACCGGCCCCGCTGGATGAGAACCGGCTGTCGGAGGGATAACGGGGGTCACTGGGGTGGGGTGGGGGGACTCTGCACCCATGACCCCTCACCCGGGACCCCACATCTGAGATCTTGCACCCTGGAACCTGTACCCAGGGGTCTGCACCTGGGTCCCCACTCCTGGAATCCCACCCAGGACCCCATCCAGGACCTCATCTGGGTCCACACCGGGGACCCGACACCCAGGACCCCATCCAAGACCTTGCACCCTGCACCCAGGATCCCATCTGGGTCCCCACACCTGGAAACCCACCCAGGACCCAACCCAGGACCCCATCTCCAAGATCCCACACCCAGGATCCCCATCCAGAACCCCACGCCCACCACCCTGCACCCAGGAGCCAGTCCCCACACCTGGAATCCCACCCAGGACCCCACACCCAGGACCCCATCCAAGACCCGGCACCCTGCACCCAGGATCCCACCTGGGTCCCCACACCTGAAATCCCACCTGGGATCCCATCTTGGACCCCACACCCAAAATCCCACACCCGCCACCCTGCCCCCAGGTCCCCACACCTGCAATCCCACCCAGGAACCCACCCGGCCACCACTCAGGACCCCACATCCAGAACTCCACCCAGGACCCCACACTGGGGAGCCAACACCGAGGACCTCATCCAGGACCCATCACCCCACACCCAGGACCCCATCTGGGTCCCCACACCTGGAAACCCACCCAGGACCCAACCCAGGACCCCATCTCCAAGATCCCACACCCAGGATCCCCATCCAGAACCCCACGCCCACCACCCTGCACCCAGGAGCCAGTCCCCACACCTGGAATCCCACCCAGGACCCCACACCCAGGACCCCATCCAAGACCCGGCACCCTGCACCCAGGATCCCACCTGGGTCCCCACACCTGAAATCCCACCTGGGATCCCATCTTGGACCCCACACCCAAAATCCCACACCCGCCACCCTGCCCCCAGGTCCCCACACCTGCAATCCCACCCAGGAACCCACCCGGCCACCACTCAGGACCCCACATCCAGAACCCCACCCAGGACCCCACTTAGGACCCCACACCGGGGACCCACACCCAGGACCCCATCTGGGTCCCCACACCTGGAAACCCACCCAGGACCCAACCCAGGACCCCACACCCAAGATCCCACCAAGATCCCACCTTGGACCCTACACTCGGAATTCCACCCAGGACCCCACACCCAAGATCCCACCTGGGACCCTACACTCGGAATTCCACCCAGAACCCCACACCCCGAATCCCACCCAGGACCCGGCGCCCCAGGACCCCATCTGGGTCCCCACACCTGGAATCCCACCCCAGACCCCACCTGGGACCCCACACCCAGGACCCCACACCCAGGTCCCTGCACCCGTGACCCACAGCTGGGACCGCACATCTGGCTCGCTGCTCCCGGGACCCTTGTAGGACCCTCCACCCCACACCCCACGGGTGCCCCTGGACCACCCCTCACCCTCCATCCCACCCTCCACCGCCCGCGAGCTGGAGCCATCGTGGTGGGACGGAGCCATCGGGGTGTCCCTTTTAGGGACAGCAGCCCCTCGGGGGGCAGGAGGAAGGAGACCCCCAACAGCCCACCCATGGGTGGCCCCATGGAAGGTCAGCAGGTGCCGGGGGTGGGTGCTGCCCTCCCCATCCCCCCCCGCCCCCCGACTCACGTTGGAGGAGGCGTCGTTGCAGCGCAGGTCGATCTCCGGGGAGCTCTGGTGGAACTCCACCGGCCCCGAGCACTCCTTGATGACCTTGGAGGGACACAGGACACCCAGCGTCACCCTGGGGACCTCCTCCCCTTTTGATGTGCCACCCCTCCCCCCCCCCTTCCCATCCTCATCCTCACCCCGTTCTCCTTGAAGTCGCAGTCGTCGGGGTTCACTCGGCCGCTCGGGCTGCACTCCGTCTCCATCATGGTGAAGTTGAGCGCCCGCAGCGCGTTCAGCTCGACGCCCTGCGGGGTTACGGTGGCGACGGGAGGCGTGGGGTGTCACGAGGTGACAAGGTGGTGACACCCACCAAGGAGACATGCCACCCATCGCCGGGCGCCTGGACCCAGCCTGGGGAGAGCATCCTACCCCACGCCCCCAAATCCCACCCCCCCGCAGAATCACAGAATCACAGAATGGTGAGGGTTGGAAGGGACCTCTGGAGATCATCCAGTCCAACCCCCCCGCCAGAGCAGGGGCACCTCCAGCGGTGGCACAC